ATATTAAAGGACCTTAAGTATAAGGTAAATGTAAAATGACACTTTTTGATAAATATTTAATAAAAGCACTTTCTTATTTTTAAGGAACCACCTTTTTATTGCTATTTTTAGAATTTCAAAATAAAAGCTTAACAAAAATGAAGAAAAATTTAAATATGTGCAGAAGATGATATATAAAAATAATGTTTCAAACTAATTACAATAAAAATACAATTAGAACAATATCTGTATATGGTACCTTTGATGCAATTCTGTTGTAAAATGTGGTCCAATTACAGTATACCATTAAAAAAAGCATATAATGGTTAAAACTTACATTCATTATTATATTAACACAAAAAAGTAGTTATTTCTTTATTATTTTAACCAGAAATGCATGCATACAGTACATGTACAGTACAGCTCCAGAGCTGCAGGTTCCAGATCCCTGTTATTGACATTTCGGTTGATACATTCAGTACTGGATGCTTAACCTACTAGAGGTACACATAAGAAAAAAAATATTGGGATTTATTATTGTTTGCTCTAATGACTGATATGTGACAATAATTTGACTGCAAAGAGGAGGGGAAGTCATGCAGTAAATAACCCAGTCAAAGTCCAAACCTAAATCCAATTGAAAATTGTTTATACGATTTTAAAATTAAAGTGTACAGATTCACCCTGGTTGTAAAAGACATGATAAGGAGGATTTTTCCATTAAATTGAGCAGGTTAGTTTAATGTAATCCAATCAGCACTATGTGGCCTTGGGAATAATATGATACAGATCCAGTGAGAGCAAACAGATACTCTCCAAGCTGTGAGCTTGGATTTATAATCACAAGATCCTTGTGGGCTAAAACAACCTGGAACAGGTTTCAGATTGCTCATTTTTAAAACTGAAAAATGTTGCTTCATATTTCCACATTTTAATGTGATTGTGACCTTTTCTATTATTTTAAAATACATAGACGATTTCTGAAGTTTGTGACCGTGAATGGGAATAAGGTCCTCAATTTCCTGCTGAATAACATTTCTGTTTTTGTAGGTTTCTAACATATTATCTTGCACTATCCACATTTAAAGCCTAAAGTCTCATGAAGAATGAAGACTAAAGCTGTTGGACACATCCATTACCATGGCTGCTACTGAAACAAAGCAAGGCCTGCACATAAAAACAACCTTTAGTGCTTTTCTCATGAGGTTCTCACCATATTCAACTCACCTTTCCCAAAGTTTGATTCAGAGCCAAAATATGTGAACAAAGCCTTTGGAGACATTCACAGACTCAGAACCTTTTCCTTCCTTTAATTGTTCTGCATCATGATACAGATCGTTCCAGTTCTAAAGTCGCTGTTCACACAACTGATTCAGCAGCCATGCATGGACTGTCACTTGGTTACAGGTGCTTACTGGTAATCAAAACACTTTTTTTTCCTCTTATTTTTTAACGAGAAATGTCTGCAGCCATAAAGTGTTTATTTAAATTCCCACAGCCAGAGACAACTTTAAGATTAAACCTGTCGAATGAAAGGCTTTAAAAAAACAAAGTGAAAGTGAACATTTTTGGACCCCACATTGTTCTTACCGTATATTGTATTTTATATATAAACCTTCAGCACTTGACGGCTTATACAGTTGCAGAAGCAAGCAAGATACAGACCAGAAAACTTTTACCACAGGACCAGCAGGGGATGTAGCTGGATATTTATACATATTTATTTCTGTCTTGCTTCATTTGATAACAGCATTGTAGGATTTGTTGTGAGTTTTTTTTTTCTTTTGATAAGGGCAAATTCCTCATTTACTTTTATCGATTGATTGACTTTACTGATCTCACAGTGAAGATATTTACTCAGCTCAAACAGTCAAAAATAAGGAGAAGGTGCCAAAAAAAAGAAAAAGGTGCATGGGGTATGTATAGTATATACACACACCCACACACACACACATATGGGTTAGGGTTAGGGTTAACACTAGTCCTGCACCTAACTCTGAAGTCTCTTATTGAGCAGAGTTGTTGTGCAGGGTATTTATATAGATATTTATATAGATGGGCATTTTATATATATAGTTATTGTACTGAATGACCTGCGGCACAGCTCCTCTACAGTCTGGTGCAGAGGGTGGAAGGTGTTGTCCATGATGGATGTAAGCTTGGACAGCACCCGCCTCTCAGCCACTTCCTCCACTGAGTCCAGAGGGCAGCCAAGGACAGAAATGGCCTTTCTCACTAGTTGGTTCGGTCTCTTTCTGTCCTGCTTTGCACTACCATGGGCCCAGCAGGCGACAGCATAGAGGAGGGCTGATGCCCCCCTGAATCATAGAAGGTTATAAGCAGGTACCTGCTCACTCCAAAGGATCTCAGCCTCCTCAGGAGGTTGAGGCAGCTCTGGTAAGTAAGAGGTGTAGAGGGTGAAGAGGAACCGAGACGGAACAGTACCCTGGGGGGCCGCAGTACTGTAGACTGCCACCTTTGAGTGACAGGCGTGCAGCCGCACATGCTGAGGGCATTCGGTGAGGTAGTTGATGGTCCAGGCAGCAAGATGTTTGTCCACTCTAGCATCCTCCAGCGATCAACAAAACAAGCCTTTCTTTAAATCTATGCCTATACAGTATATAATACATAAAAAAAAGTACTTTCTTTTTTCCTTGGAAGTATTTTTTTATCTGTTTACCTATAGTTTGGGTTCTAAACTCTTGCCTTAATTTTAAAGTTTGGTGTTTTACCTTCAATACGTCCTACACACAAATCTGTGTTTGTATAAACCAGACGTTTTTGAAAAGTATAGTTAAAAAAAATTTTTTCAATCATTTTAAATTTAAAATTTGGTTAAAATGACAAAAAGACACCTTATATTACTGAACATGTGCATAAGTTCAAAGATTACTTAAAAAAATAAAAGTGGAGTAAAGATGTTTACATTCATGGTTTATAGAGACTGGGAAAAAACTTTAAACCTTCTGGCCTCATTCATCAAGTGTTCACCTTTTTCCCTTCATATGCCACATTGTTCTTTTGTTCCTTATCAGCCGATGTTTAGTCAGCTGATCGATGATGCTCTTAAGCTTCAGATGTTGCCTCCATGAGGGTAAAAAGCGTACACTTCATGCATTAGAGCTTGACAATGATGATGATTAGGTGCTGTCTGTAATGACTGTATGACGTCCCTGTCTCTGGATGTTGATGAGGGAAGGAACCATTTGCTCTCATCCGGTGGCTGAGCTGGCAAAAGCCAATGGATTGTCTCATTTTGATCTTTTTTGGATATGAGACAGCAGGTTCAAGGCCTGCAGAAGAATGCACACGCAAAGTCATTGCAAACGGCTCCCTGTGAAGGGCATGGCAGATGTGAAAAAGTGAGAAATGAGTTGAGGAGTTTATCAACCTTAATATCTGAAGAAAGACAGTAGACTCTTTAACAAGCGTGCCACGTGAATATCTGGATGCTTGGAATGTAAACACAAACTTTGTCAAAACACGTTTGAGTCTGATCCATGAAGCAGATAAAGACTTGTGGCGTCTCTGAACATTTTATCTATCTGAAGTCAAGAACCAATAAATGAGAGGATGTTGTTGTGCTTGCACCTCAAAGTCATATCTGTAGTGTAATTAACAAGCGGAAAGCTGTGGTCATGGGAAGGAAGAACCCTCCTTTGATATCTTACAGGTGAAGCAAGGACGGCGCTGAAAGGCAAAGGAGTCTCTTGAGGGTATTAGCATGTAGATTCTAGTTGTATAACATCAGTGTGTATAATGTGACGCACACAATTACCTCTTTTGGTGGCCTTGGGGTGAAGCAATCAATTCGTATTACTGCTGATTCCTTAGTTCAGAGATAAAGGTTAAAATCTGTGGATAGATTTAAGGGTGGGTAAATAATAATAATAGTGGGTCTGTCTGGTTTTTCTTAGTCTTAAACTTATTTAGGGACAGATGTCAAATATCCAGCAGAAATGCGAGGCCTCTAGAATGTACTTGTTCCTCATAACGGTCGTAGATAGACTGGTAAATTGAGATAGATGACTTTTAGCTGGGTTTTGTCTTTAATACACAAAATAAAGCAAGAGTTAAATCCCTGCAGACAAGCCATTCACTCTCCTAACCCATCTGCTTCTCCATCACTCCATCAATCCTCTAGTGGGCCAGCTCTCACCAAACCTGTTTTGCCCTGTAAATACACTTGTACTGTGCAGCCCAAAACGGTTACCATTTATTTAAGCTATTCTACATGCTGTATTGATTTTGTATGTTTTACAACTCAAAAAATATTAAAGCCTTTGTTTGATCATGGGTCGTAAGTAGATCAGTTAGTCAGTAATTCAGTAGCCTTTCTACTAAATAATTCTGTACTTTTACTTGACTCATTTCTTGAAAGGCTACTTTTTTTACTTTTACTTGAGTAGAGATATGATGGAGTTGTGCTACTTTTACTTAAATAAATTTTTTCGGTACTCTACCCACCTCCGTTCCTAACAGCAATCCTGTGACTAACATCACTGATGATGTTCTTGTATAGTGCTGGGCACCAACTTAATTTTAAAGCTGGTGAAAGAAATAAAACCAAACTAAATTCTGTTTACTAAAGTCAAGCATGTTTTCTGCATTGCAAACATATTTATGCCCAGGACTACAAGACAATTGGGTAATTCTAATCTATTCCTAAAGACATTACATGACAATTCCATCATTTTACTCCTGCAGGATATGTTAATGGTTCATGTTTTTTCCCTCATAGATCTCAAAGCTAACTAAAGCGAAAATATATGCATTAATAGAGTAAAAAAGAAAAAGAAAAGTTTTTATTATAATGTGGTGCCATAGCAAGATTTGTAAACAAAACAAAAAAGAAAACTGTCTTTTCAGCAGAACAATGGCCCAAAGGAAAAATCAAATAACACTAAAAAAAATAACTTTCAGTCTGCCAAGCAATGAAGCCAAAAACCTCACAGAGGGAAGAAATCTCCTCCTCCATGTTTATTTTTGAGACTACTTATGAAACATATTTACGTGTAATATTTTATTAGGCAGTAATTTTGACCAGAAAAACAAACAATAAATAAATAAAAATCAGAAACAAACCATATATATTTATTTACAATAAAATATCAAAAACATATCTGAACAACATAATTTGAATGAATTGCTAAATAACTATTACTATTGTGGAACTAATTGGACTTTTGTCTCTGGGACCAGGGGCAACTTTAGGCCAATGAAAGTGTGATTAAATCCTCTCCTGCAGTGCTTTCCACCAGGGAGAGAAAGAGGTCTGAGCGTGTCTAGACCAAGTGCGCCCCCTGTAGGGAGGTCAGAGCAGTGTATCTGGCTGTGGAGGAAGAAGAAGAGGAGGAGGCGGCGTGGGATGCTGCTCTTCTTTTCAGCTCCCTGGAGATCTGAAGCCAAGATAGTGTGTAGCAGCAGCATCCGTACAGGCAGTCACTCCACACGCTTCCCTGCACACACACAGAACTGAACTTAAGTGGGAGGCCCATGCAGAAAGGTGAACATTTACATATAGGTGCAAAAGAAACACTTCTTATTGTTTTATTGTGCATCAAACCAACTTTCATGTCTGTTAGTTACCTGGACATGAGCTGATATATCAAAAAGAAAAACCCATGATCATCGGTTTGATTCTGATTCTGATGAATGCATAGATGGATGGATGCATAGATGGATGGATGCATAGATGGATGG